TTTGCGGGTGCACTTTAAGACTACATCCATAGGAAAACTCTGTAGAAAACTACTTGCTTTGAGTTAATCAACCTACTAATAAGCATGTATGCTGTGTATGCACGTCAGTTACGCAGGCCTACGGATCTGCTACACCCGGTATGCTGTTTTGTTTGGGTATTTTTGTGGGCGGGGGGGGGTAAATGAGAAAAGGAGCTTGGTATCATCTATTATTGTAGGAGTTTGCAGTCTCACCTCACCGGAGGCGAACTTGATAATGCATCATGATTTGTAAGTTGCGCTTTTTACATTGGAAAGACTTTTTTTCTTTTGTAAATGTAAAACAATACAAGCGCAAGCACACACACAAGAAATGGCTACCTTGGAACAGGACGTCCACTGAGCATTTGTATAATGTAAATCTATGCTTCTTCCAGTTTCCCTTCCAACCCGATGGATCGATAGAGATAGACGTGGAAAAAGTGGATCTACACAAGTTTTCTGTGTTTGCGGAAGTGGAGTTTGTGGTGGCCCACTTGTCTGTTGGAGACTGTCTCTATATCCCAACGCACTGGATACACCAGGTACCGTATTAGGGCTTTGCGACAGGGTACTCGATGGAGCAGGTTCTTTTCCATTTGTCAATCGTTCTAGTCAAATCCTACAGAATCATAATGTTAACAACAACAACAACAACAACAACAACAACAACAACAGCAGCAGCAGTAGCAGCAGCAGCAACAGCTTCAGCAACAACCGAAAACTTACCCAAATTCATCTTCGCTCCATGACATAGCTCTCCTCACGCTGTTGTCCTCAGGTCAACTCTTCGGGCAGCAACATCGCTGTGAATGTCTGGTGGGGCCGTGAACCCAGTGTGAGGGTAGCCGAAACCGGTGCGTGTCACGACCACGTGACCTGTGACCCCTCCCTGACGCTAGATACGGTCACATGGCCCTGGTCTGGAGATGATGCCTTAGACGGAACTTGTCAGGCAGTGTCAATTAACGATGATGTTTGTTATCAAGAAACATTATTTAGAGGAATGTATTAGTTTAATTTTATCTTTTCAGTAGCTAACATCAAAGACCGTGTTGTGGAGTATCTTTGCCAAGGAGGTTACAGTTTTCTTATAAGGTCCTTGATCTTTGCTAACAGCATGCGTGCTTGACACCAAAGACTAACTGCTCACTTTCCAAAATTGATTCGATGTCACGTAGGCCTACTGGTATAAAATTATTTTGTGAAATACGATATGACGTATTTGTGTGAATATGTTTATATGTGTGTCTTTGCACGTGAGTGTATGTGTGTGTGTGTATGTGTGTGTGTGTGCGTGTATGTGAGAGAGGGAGAGAGAGAGAGAGAGAGAGAGAGAGAGA